CTAAGAATCTCAACAAGACATGGTGGGAGGAGATTGTGTTGTTATGTTATCTTTATAATTATTAGATCTAGGATGGAACTCCATTCCTGATTCGGCTTCCATAGAATTCTAAAGGTCCCTATTTTAAGAATTTTATGACTTATTATCTCATAGGATAAGTCTAAAGTTGCCGTCTTTCTGAGGCTTTCAAGTTTCACAAAGATACACATATTGTAATAAGGAAACAAAATAAATATGTTGAAGCGAGTTTTAGCATGTTTATTTGCAAGCATATCATATATCCTATCATATGTTCTAATCTACTCGGTATTAGATAAATACAACCAAATTTACTTCAGTAAAATATTTATGCATGTAAGTATTATCAGAAATTAGGCAAATATTTTTCCATGTACTCCATCTCTTCTGCATTGATAGACCCATTAAATCCCTTCTTTATGCAATGGAGAGTCCACTAAAAAACTACAATTGAGCTTTCCAATGGCTACCTACTCAGCATCAACTTTCTTTCAATAAAGAACAACCGACAATACACTACAATCATCATCCTATGAGAGAAGAGGCCTTCATATGGGCATGCAATGAGTATCAACATGTGAAGAGGTGAAGTAAAGTGCTCAAGAAGGGAAGTGTGGCAAACAAGATAGCCCATCTTGGCCATCTCCATCCTCTTCCCGTCAACGCCAAGTTTATTTTTTCTTACCTTATAATGCTTAGTGTCAATGATTAGGCCATTTTTTTTCCTGATCTTCCTTTCTTTTTCTTCATAACTCAACAAAAAGCACGAGATCTCCTCATCGAGTTGCATCAAACATTATGGTATCATGCATGCGCAAGCTTGATTCCTAAGATATTCTCTTAATATTTGATTGGTTTGGGGGCAAATGCATACATTTCAAGTTATTTGTACAAGTAATATCTATTTATCCAAAATCTGTATATTTCTAATTTTATATATAAGTGAAAATAGTTTTCATGTAGTGTATTTTAAGAAGCTATCCATCGACATATAAACTTTTCTGAGTATTCCATTATCTCGGAAATGTGCAAACCTATTATGCCCAATCCCAAGTGTTTATCTATAGATTTATCCTAAATATTCAAGAATTAAATAGCTTGTATTAAATACTCAATATTTTTCTGATTTCAATGCATGCACATGAAAGCAGTCGTCCATTTACCTGTGATGCAAGGAAAATCAGTCAAATCCTTGATATTATGTTTCACAAGTATGATATAAAATTTTGGTCGTTGGCCTTGCGCCGGATAATCGTTGGATTCGGAAGCAATTGTGATATGACGTACAATAAATTTTCCGTAGAAATCACCGTTCTGACCGGGTAAACGGGAAGTTTCGTACGAGCCATTGACTCGGGAGGACAAAATCTTCCATCGCCGCTCTCTCTCTCTCTTGCTCTTACTCTCTCTCTGCGGATGGGTCAACGTTGAAAATCTCGTGGTGAGGAACTCGTCAAAAGCTAGGGGGGGTGGATGCCGCGCCTCGCCGCTCCTGCACCGACAACTCCGCGTGTCAAACAAGGCGGCGCATAAAATCCTGTCCCCCTAGGGGTCAGCGGACTGACGAAGACGCATCCCTATAGACCCAGAGAGAGAAGAGAGAGAGAGAGAGAGCGAGAGAGCGAGAGAGAGAGAGGGAGGGAGAGTGGAAGAGAGCAGGAGAGAAGAAATAGGGAAAGAGCAATTGGGGGGGCGGGTGGGGGAGGGGCGTGGGGAAGAGCGGAAGAGAGGAACAAAGGAGGAAAGAAAATTGAGAGAGTGAGAGAGAGGGAGGGAGAGAGAATTAAAATTAAGAGATAGAGAGAGAAATACACAGAGAAAGAGAGAAAGATAGGAAGAGAGAGAGAAAGTCGCTAGGCCTTGTTTTCTTGATGAGTAGGCCTCCCTTTTAACTCTCCCAAGGAGACCAGATCATCTCTCCTGTCCCTGAAAGCAGGACCGCACGCCGATGTAAAATAGAAGAACAAGCGGAATCCCCGAAGATCATAAACCTCAAACCTTTCCATGCGTTCGCCTCGGAGATTCGGATCCCCCCGGGCTGCTATCAGATCTTGGTTCACTGTTCATATTTGTCACCCTCCATTGTTCCCGTTGCTGTTCCTCACTGAATAAAGGCAAGATCTTTGAGCCTGCAACCTCTTCCTGACAAAGAGCTTTTACTCATTCAGTCTCCAGCCTTCTAATAATGGCGATAAATCTACCCCCGTGAGTCGGGCAATGGACGTCGGCCTTCTAGAGAGAAGTCTGGACATGGAGGCGGCCCTCCTTGACTTGATCCTTACTTTTTATTCCTTCTATTCTAGAGAGAGAAGGAAACGGGAAGATAAGCCAGTACAAAACAGGAATGGGGTTACCAAAAGAGAAAGCGAATTCAAAGAAATCTTTGGTGGGGCTAAATTCTTAACTCCAAGCCATAACAACAGATAAAACCGGGTTAATATGGCAGACTTAAATGGCAGCTAGCGAACAGCAATAATCATAGATTTTTAGCCAGACTTAAATGGCAGCTTCACAGAATCCCAACATTCTTAGCCCGACCACATTTATTACATACGTAAAACGGGCTTATTTAGCCCATCCTCTTACCATGCGTTGAAACTTCCTCTCTCTCTCTATCTCTCTCTCTTGCTAAGCTCGAGGTCTATTCTCCTAATGTTTCATGGGCATCATTGACATCAGAGCTCAAGCGTTAGAGAGCATATCTTCTGTGGCTCGCTTTTATGAACTGGCTGATATCACTGGCTCCATTGATACCATCTCTTAATCCTTGAGTGAGCTTTAATCAGTGCATAAAATACGCCTCCATCCAGAACTTTATTCATAAAGCTGGATAAAGCAGTGGTTCTTCTATCGACAAGAACCATTCGGATACGATAGAAAAAGAGGAATAGAGCCAGGTACCATCCTCCCATTAATCACCCACTTTCCATTAACCAGGAGTAATTTATTTTTAGCATATACGAGAAGCATCCTAAGATGGAAGATGGGCCCTCATGTGGGCATTACATCAACATCAAGTTGAAAAAGGGGAGAATAAAGCATGACCATTGAAGATTGTGGCCATCTCAACCGTTTCCCATTCTATTTGCTGCCTCTCCTCCTAGCTGAACGGCCGGTCTCTACCAGTTCCAAGTCAGCAGACGGTGTGGCCTAGTTCACAGAATCGGAGGAAATACCATGTGCTGCCAGGTTTCCAGTCTTGGTTCATGCATGCAAAAACTAGGATGGAGCTTTTTTGCCAGACGAAGAAATTTTTTACAAATAAGACGATCCAATGAGGATAGACATATAATTGAGAAGATCTTACGCCATTTAATTTTTTTAATTTTCACGTAGACAAATAAACGGATATTTGACCAATTTTCTAATTTAATTTCTCATTTTATTATCTACGGGCTATTTATACCAATATTTTAAATAAATATGCACATATTGATTATTTACTTAAATTTCTAATCGAGCTTAATAAACTACATTATCACCTTGAAATGATTTTAATCTCCATTTTCTTGAGCAACCCAATGGTACAGATTTCTTGCCTGAGATTTTCATGGCGGGAGGTCACTGGCATGATTTTGCTTAAAGCCAACCTAAAATGACATTGTAGGCGTAATGTGGGTTTTTCTGCAAAAATCTTCATTATTCTCGATCAAGTCGGATCCTAGGGGAGATCCTCGCATGTGTTCGGTCGATTAAATCTTGATTAATTTAGTGGGCAGTTGCCGTTTTAAAGGATGTAATGTGGGCCCACGGAAGCCCTAGGTGTCGGATCCTTATCGGGTAGGTCCCACCTCTAATCCGATGCCTCGAGCGACCTGATCTTGCCCGATTCGCCACCAAAGAAATTACAATTGTATATATAGGCTCCATCTTCGTCAACTCCATCCTTTGAGGGCATAACTGTAAAACTGTTGGAGAGGGATTGAGAGGGAAAAATTACGGAGAACTCCTGAATAAAGAGTTGATGAACGAATAACTCGAGGTATTTCTAATCCCAAAACATGCAGCACGGGCCACGGAATCTCCGACGTGGCGGCCACACGTGCGGGAGATCGGTCGGCATGTGGGACTGTACTCTCGCGCTCCCCCCGCATCTCCGCCGTACAACGCGTGAACCTTGTGGGGGCCTGGCATTGATGGCCGTCTCTCATAGCGAGGGGGTTCACGTGAAGCTTCCCGGCTTTCTCTGTCTACCCTCGTTTCTCTCTCATCAGTCCTGAGCGAAAGCAGCACGGAAAGAAGAAAGGGAGAGTAGAGAGAGAGAGGAAATGCGTGACGTCAGCGGATCTTTGGTAAGATTAGGCGGGGTCCGCCACCGAGAGGGTTCCTCCCTTCCCTCCATCTCTGCAGATATCCCTTTCTCTGTCTAATCTACTCTCTCTCTCTCTCTCTTTATCTCTCTAACTTCTCGCTCCTCTCTTTCTCTCTCTCGCTATCTCTATCTCTCTCCGACCTGTAAAGATTTGGCGGTCGTCAGGGATCCCCTCAAAATTCTTGTCCCGCCTCGTTAATGTCCGGAAACCGACAGCGTGGCGTGACGGTGAAAGCAAGGAGAGAGAGAAGTTAGAGAAAGGAGTTAGAGAGAAAGAGAGAGGTGCTCGGATGTGGCCCCCCCCCCCTCCCGAGTCTGCCGGGCGGGGACTTGCTTGGCCTCCAATTCATTCAAATCCGACCCCCGAAGGGCATCCAGAGTCCCATGTAAAGTAGAGAGAGAAAGTAGAGAGAGAGATTTGAGCCAAATCTGGTCGGATCTTGCTTTCCAACTCGTATGATTTTGTTGGTGGGGGAGGGGGGGGGACGGCCCTTCCTCCCCCCTCCCCCGGTCCCTATTTCTTCCCCCCTTAACGACTCTATCTTCCCTTCCCTGAGACCTCCCTCCTCTCTCTCTCTCTCGCTCTCTCTCTCTCTCTCTCTCTCTCCCTCTCTCTCTCTATCTCTCTCCTCCTTCCTCATTACCATTCCTCCTTCCTCTCTCCTCCACCATGGCGATCACCGCGGAGGCTCAATTCCACGTCCTGGCCGTCGACGACAGCCTCATTGACCGCAAGCTCATCGAGCGCCTCCTTCGGACCTCCTCCTACCAAGGTATAGACACTGTAGAGAGTAGAGAGAGAGTGCGTCTTCTTCCTCACCTCAATGGATGAATGATCGATCGATTGACTGATTTCCGGCGATCTGTTCTGTTCAGTCACCACCGTCGACTCCGGCAGCAAGGCGCTGGAATTCCTCGGCCTGCAGGACGACGACGATGACGAAGACAGCTCCGATTCCTCCCCCTCCGTCTCCGCCAGCCACCACCATCGCCACCACCACCACCGCCACCACCAGGTAAACCAGATCGAGCTCCTCTATTTCCTAAAATAGGCGAGGAATCACACAGCGCCGCCGCCGTCTGCTCTTCTTATTCTTCTACTTCTTCTTCCCGCAGGAGATCGAGGTGAACCTCGTCATCACGGACTACTGCATGCCCGGCATGACCGGCTATGACCTGCTCAAGAGAATCAAGGTAAATTACTTCCCAGAAGTTTGGAACGAAGCTTGTCGATCTTCGCTTGTTTTCGGAGGAATTAAGGTTGCCTTGTCGGCTGCTCTTGAATCAGGAGACTTCATCCCTCAAGGACATCCCAGTGGTGATCATGTCCTCAGAGAATGTACCCTCAAGGATCAACATGTGAGCGATCTTCCCCTCTTCTTTTTTGCCGCCTGTTCTTCTCGCGAGATGAGTTCCTCCCCCTGAAACATGAAAAAAATGAAAAAAATCCAAGGAAGAAGACGACGGTGTAGAGTAATCCACAGAATGCTTTCTTTTTTTTCGGGGGAACATTGATGGGTGGTTGATTAGATTCCCATATTATTTTTCTCAATTATCAGATCCTCAAGAACAGATCATATATTATTTTTCTGTTTTGAGTGAAGAAAATGTCAAAGCTTCAGTGACCCCTTTTTGTGTCAGTCATCATGAACAGTTTTTTTTTTTTTTTTCCCAAGAACTGGTTGGACTGTGAATCATAGGACTCGAATTAATGACGTAATTATTGCGGAAAACAGGTGTTTGGAAGAAGGGGCGGAGGAGTTCTTCCTCAAACCGGTGCAGATGTCGGATCTGGAGAGGATCAGACCCCACATAATGAGGAGAAAACCTGCGGATCCTGAGGAGGAAGAACAGGGGGAAGATCAGCCGCAGCCCTCGCAGACACCACCTGTTCTTCCACTGCAACAGCAGATCACCAACGATAACACAGCCATGGCCATGGCCCCAGACAGCAGCAGCAGCAGCAGCAAGAGGAAGGCCATGGATGAAGGTCTGTCTCCCGAGAGGAGACGACCCAGATGTACAGTAACAGCTTGATTCACACGCGCTGATAGATCTCACCATAGTTTTCAACATCACAAATATATACCTTATGATTATTTTTTTAACTGGCAATTCTCCTGCCCTTCTATCTCTTTCTGTGGGTCAAAGCTTGTTCCTGTTCTTCCTTGCCCTTTCCTCTTTTTGGGCAGAGGGTGAGCTCCTACTTTGTAGAAAATCGAGATCCTGTATCCCCACCACCGATTCAACGGCCATTTTGCTGTGCCCACGAAAGGAAATGTCCGTAGATGGGAGATTTCTGGTCTTTATAGGTTGTCATCTTGAAGAAAGTGCAGACTTTTGGGGTAATTCTTAGAGGAAGGAAGGCCATCCATGGCTTCTTCGGTTAACGATTGACGACGATGATGATGATGAAGAAGAAGAAGAAGAAGAAGAAGAAGAAGAAGAAGAGCTCGCAGAGGCAGCTTCGTGGTCGCAGAATTCGATGAACACGACCGCGATCAGAAAGAATAAAGGGAAGAACAGGTATTCCGGGGAATCGGCCAAAGGTTTCTGATTCTGCAGGGGGAGAACAGATCTTTTTGAGCAGGTAAATGAGATTCTAGGGTTCTACGGAGTTGAGGAAGATAGACCAGCGATGATGCCAAATCAGAGAATGGGGAGGAGGGAATCTCAAAGTCTGAAGAACAAACAGTACCAGCCGTGTCCTCTGAACCTCGGGCAGGCTCCAGATCAAGGGCGGTACAGTATCTAGGGTGTGTAGAAACCCGGGAGACGATTGGGAGAGGGGAACACTGCCAAATCGAGAACGGGAAAGAATCTTAGAAATCAATAAACACCGAGAACAGCAAGCATCTAGGGTTCTGCGGAATCCAGGAGCGGAAGAAATCCGGGACGGTGCCAGATCGGGAAGCAGACGAGGGGGAATCTCACACTTTGACGAACAGGAGGAAGAAGATGCCCCCGGTGATCTGTTCAGACCGTGGCCGGTCAACGATCGACATCTAGGGTTTCTGCGGAAATCAAGGAAGAAAATAGGGAGACCGGGAACAAGTCTTACGGATTAGGGATTATCCCCGATGGGGGATGGAGACGTAGAGGATCTTAAGATCGTCCAGATTCTCCCCGAGATCTTCCCGCTGACCTGGTGAAGGGGACGTAAATGTCTGCTGTCAGAGGGATCTCGTGAGGGGTTTAATGGCGCTACATCTGCGTTCTTGTCGTCGGATCTCGCCGCCGGCGATCAGAAGGGGAATCTAACCTGAAACTGCGGAAACCCTAAGGGACGGCGGTCAGAAAAGTCCGCTATGGGAGAATGATTGCGAGCTCGGCCCCAGCTTGCCGTAGCGCAGAGGGCAGCGGGGTTCGTTTGCCGGAGGAGGAGGCATCCGAGGACGAATTGCCCACAAGCGCAAAGGTGCCATTTTTCTGCAAAAATTCCTGCCAGTAAGCTGCTCGATGAAATGCCCACAAGAGCAGGAACTTTGGGCCTTGTTCTGGGCCAAATTCCAAAGGACTTGGTTCACCAAGAAACCTGTTGGCACGGGTAGGCTACCTATTTATCTAACTTTGATAATTAAGTGTTTATAATTGGTGTAATAATTTCTTGACTCGCCTGTTCATCCTCCAACCTTGATGGTTGGATCAGGCCCCCCAAAGAAGCACTCATGAGAATTAATGTTTTTATGTATCAGGGTGAAGACTGATATCAATATGAAAAACTTACGCAAAAAAGGCAGGAAGATCAATTAAATGTTCTTAAGGAAAAAACTTGTTGCCTCGTACTGCTCAGCTTTTCGGTTTTTGCATCACTATACTTTTATCTAGAGTGATAAATGTGGAGAAAGCCCAAAATGCAGAGAAATGCCCGTACAAAAATTCTGGCTGATGTTTGGGTCAACTATGTTTGAATTGACTTTTGGTTGTCGTTTCTTGACATACACTTAACATCTAAGTCTAGTTTATACACATTTATTTTTTCTTTTTTCGTACAAAATGGCTTTTAACTTATAGAAGCCACACTTCTTAATATTACCTTTAATTTCAGCAGATTTATACACCGTCAAGAATGCTTATCCTGGGTCTTTAAACTTGTGTAAAATATTCATAGATGTTAGTGGATAAATAATGGTTTTAGTTGTCATTGTCATCTAGTGGAATTCAGTAACCCCCCTCTTCTAATGTTCATATTACCTTGAGAAGAAATAAAATTTAATACTATAATTTTGAAGGTGATCATAGACTCTTCATGAACACATCATAATAGGAAATAATAATTATATCAAGAGATTAAAAGCTATATTTTCTTGCTGTGGAAATGGTTTAATTATAGGAGTATTTTTTTGGCTTTTTTAATTGAAAAATTATGCATTTTCAAGAATGTGATACCTCTTTTGAACAAACATATGTTGAATATTATGTAGTGAATATCAAAACTATGTATTGATATGATGGCATATTCTACCATAATGTTTAATAAAAGTGATATGATTCAATATTTCATATCATCTTTCATTAGCATATTTTAAAAGTGAATAACACAATGTTTATGAATGAGGCAAATGTGAGTTAGATCGTAACTAATCATATAAATCAAAAAATAATTAAACCCTAAAATTACCCTCTTTGTGGCCCTTTTCTTTCATAAATTATCAAATATTTTTGGCAATTATGTTAGTATCCTGCATTCATACATACTATATGAAATGATATTAGTAATGGATGAACCATGTGAGCATTGGATGAATTAAACTTGCAATCTCCTAGACTATATTAAATCATTACAATTTGAAGTTATCAAAAACTTCTTTTAATGTACCTTACACTAATAAAAAATTCAATGAATTTGGTTGTCTCCCTCTTTATCTCTCCATTCAAACATAGTAACAACCAAACATTTCAGACAAGCAAGAATCTTGGGTTGTATATAAAACAATGTGAACTCCAACTTTTGGGGGAAAACACAAAAATAGTTCACACAGCCATGAGCGTGAGAAACCAGGAAACTTGATACATAGTCATGAGTTATGTAAATAGTCAACTTTACGAAGTTTTTTCTGCTATAAACCTATCACATACTACCTATTCATATATAAATTAGGGTATGAAATCTAGAATAGTGATGGAGCAACATGTGACCTATCTTAATGTAAAATAGAGATAATTTTGTGAGAAAAGGCAAACTCTTCCATTAGAACAATTATTTTTTATGAACACATACTAGATTATATCTTTGAATATGTCATTAAAACCTAAAAAGTGTACATACGGCAAAGCCAAAACAGTGCAAAGTAGATCTGTAATATGAAGATTAATGTCATCTTGTCATAAAAATATTATTATCAGAATCAAAATGTGTAAAGTGAAGTAACTAGATGTAGTTATAATAATACCTACCACTGCATAAATTCTTTACCCATTGACACAAATACCCTAGGGCTCATTGTCATGTTAATCGTTACAAGATCTACTCTACTAGTGTGCAAATAGGATGGCCAAATAAATCCCCAACCTAAGTAAAGTCATTATTTTCCATCTATTTGGATCTAAAAATAGTGTCTTGAGAAACTCCATCTTATCTTGTAACTTGGTTGCGTTAACCTCTCTCTCTCTCTCTCTCTCTCTCTCTCTCTCCCTTTGAGGTGCAGACAAAGTTCAGGTGAGGGCCTGATTTCTAGGGCCTTGGGCCCATTTCCTGAACTTTTCTGAAGGAAATGACCTGTTCTTGTAATTGCCTCCTGGGGTTTTGGCTGCCTCTGCTCTGCCCAGTCTCGCAGCCCCCCAAAATATGTATTCCATTTTCATGGTGATATTAAGATTCATTACACTCCTATGCTAAACTGCTTTCAGGTTGTAATTCCATCTCGTTCTCCTTCGTCCACGTCTAGTAAAAAACACTTTCAGTCTTGTCGAAATAAATGTTGGACTTTTTTATAATTGAACGCATTAAAAGGTAAAAAATGGTTGAAATTTTAAGAATGAAGGCCTCGCTATACAAAGTAGACCCCGGAGTTCTGGATCTGGACAGAGTTTAAACATATTAGTGTGTCGGTTCTAAGTGGTTGTAAGTGTGGCTCCGATCATACCAATGCTGCTTTAGGGGTCAATAAGCCTCGCTAAGGAACGGATGTGATGCATGTCTTGTTTTGGATGTATGCCCTACCACAATAAAAAAGACAACGCAACACCGTGTGCACATTACTCAACTAGAGAAAACTGGTACAAGTAGATGTAGGCATAACATGCGTGCATGTGGTTGATTGAAGCTACACAAAATTTTAAAAAACTCAGAATCCTCAACTAGAAACATGCAACCATAAATGCACTTGGAGGTTATAATTAAATGCATGATTTGACGAATTAAATTTCTTCAATCAGACTGGAAGTAAATGAGGAATGAAATATATATTTCTTTTTTTTTCGAAGGTGACAAGTGAAATATACCCTCGTGGCAATGAATGGAGTGGGTCCTTCTCTAAGATCACGGTGGTGGAGTGGGGTGAGCATGATTTCATCGAATTCAAATAAATAACAGGTCTTGTTTACTATGGCTGTGTTGGGCAAGAATGAGTGGAGAAAGGGAGAAGTGAGGCCCTTTCATGTTTTTTTTCTTTTGTTAAACCAAATTTATTTTTAGTTTGTATCATTAAATTAATGATTTAAAGTTTTAAAGTTTTAAATCATTCATTACTTCAAGATTAATGTTATAGTCAAAGGGTCTATTTGAGTCTAGTCTAAGATTACATTTCTAAATACAATGAAGAACCTAAACCACAGACCTAGTCAACAAATTGAAGTCTTGAAAGTGAGAGCTAAAGTGAGATCTCAATAGGATAGAAAATGAAAGGTTAATTAATAAAAAAGTTAAATTAACAAGATCACCTACTAGTACATCTTAATTGAATAACATCTAACTTAGTATGACTATATTTTAAAGTAGATAATTGACTCGACTTAGTCGTTGTATAGTAAATCACATAAATACAAAATTTTTAAAATTAAAAAATACTAATTTTTAGATATTTAGAAATATTTTA